GAACACTGTGCCAAATAGGACAGCAGGCTTCCTTAGCTAGGACTTTAGAATCTCGCGCCATCGATGTGTGCTGCGTCTCCGAAATGCGCATACAGGATCCGAGTAGCGTCATTCATTTGAAATCACCATGCCAAAATAAAGAACCGACTCAATTTACGCTTCGTGTATCTGGAAGCCCTGATTCCGCTTCCCGTGGCCTCGCCGGCGTAGGTATAGCATTGAGTTGTAGGGCAGAACTAGCTCTCTTAGACTGGTTATCAGTAGACAGTCGTTTGTGCGCTGTCCGACTGAACGGAACAGTAAGGATCCGGAAAGATAGGGACACTCGTCGTTGCCTCTTCGTCGTCTCTGCCTATTCTCCCACTGACTGCAGCTCAGATGATGTAAAAGATGAGTTTTACAGAAAGCTTTCGGACCTTCTCCGAAAAGCTAGGGGCTCGGATGTAGTAATGGTGGCTGGTGACTTTAATGCTCAAGTAGGTAAACTGAGCGAAAGGGAAAGACACCTAGGTGGATCTTACGGTGTCGTGGCTCAAATAACAGATAATGGCGACCGTCTGTTGCAGCTATGCTCAGATAACCGCCTCTTTCTTTCAAACATTAACTTTAAGCATAAGGAAAAACATCTTTTAACATGGCGACCCCCTAATTCGTCCTAACGTTGAACCCAAATAGATCACATCGCTATCAGTCACCGATGGAGGGGCTCGACAGAAGACTGTCACTCATTCTGCAGCACATGCTTAGATTCAGTTCATGCCCTAGTGCGAGCGCGTATTTGCCTGCATCTTACTGGACGTAAGAAAGACGCTGCAAGGAAACCTCTTAGGGCCCTACTTAATGATAGTCAAGCTAAGTGTATATTTCAGGAACAACTAGGAAAACAGTTAGGCAGCCTTGTATGTGATGCTCACCCTGAGGCAGCATGGAATGATATCCGAAAAGCTGTGGAAACAGCAGTGATATCTGCTAGTAAGGTAAACCGTAAAGTTAGGGGGAAACACTGGATCTCAGCAGCATCTATCGCACTGATAGATGCTCGGAAACTCATTCCACCTGACTCTGAACATAATGAAGAGCGGAGTCAGCTTAAGCACAAGCTGACAAGAAGCCTACGCAATGATCCCGAACAGTGGTAGGTAGCGAAAGCAAGAGAGATGGAAAAGGCAGCGGCAATAGGTAATAACAGACAATTGTTCAGACTCGTTAAGGAAACCGGAATTAGGAACCCGACCGTTAGCGAAACAATCTCAGAGAAAGATGGACATATTATACATTCTCAATCCAGGAGATTGGGTCGATGGGCAGAACACTTTAGGGATCAGTTTAACTGGTCTTCAGCCACACTTCGGTTTCCCACGATCTCTAGTCAACCTGAATGGAAAGTTAATGTAGGTCCTCCGTCCCTTTACGAAGTTGAAAAAGCCATAGGAAATCTGAAACGAGGGAGAGCAGCAGGGCCTGACAGGTTTACTCCTGAGATTTTTAAGGATGGTGGTCCAGTATTAGCAGTGAGATTAACTGAGGTCTTAGGTAGAATTTGGGAACTGGACGTAATCCCATCTGACTGGTCTCAATCACTGATTGTGCCAGTCTATAAGAAAGGACAAAAGTCCTCTTGTGACAATCACAGAGGAATCAGTTTGACTAATATAGTGTCTAAAATATTAGCTTCAATAATACTTCGACGCCTAACTAAAGCTCGTGAAGAGCAGATTAGAGAAAATCAGGCCGGTTTACGACCTGGACGTGGTTGTATAGATCAGATATACACACTACGCCAGGTTCTAGAACACAGACACACATTCATACGCCCCACAATGGTAGTATTTCTCGACCTTAAGGCGGCATTCGACTCTGTTGATCGTGAGGTTCTATGGCAGTGTTTGTCACTGAAAGGAGTACCAAAGAAGTACATTAACCTTATAAAGGCTCTCTACTCGAACACAACTGGTCTAGTGAGAGCTTATGGCGAACTGTCATCAGAATTGATTACCTCAAGTGGTGTTCGTCAGGGCTGTCCACTCTCTCCATTCTTGTTTAACTTTGTCGTTGACGTACTTTTAGATATAACACTCTCCTCATCTAAATTTCCAGGGGTTGAACTTCTACCGGGAGGTTCACTTGTTGACTTAGAATATGCAGATGACATAATTTTATTTGGTGAAGACGCTGACAAAATGCAGAGTCTTCTGACCACTCTAAGCAACAATGCAAGCATGTTTGGGATGCGATTCTCTCCCTCGAAATGCAAAATGTTGCTTCAGGATTGGTTTACATCGACACCCGAACTAGTGATAGGGAGTGAAGTAGTTGAGTGTGTCGACCGCTTCACTTATCTTGGAAGTCTCATCAGCCCTTGTGGTCTGGTGTGTGACGAAATCTCAGCACGGATACAGAAGGCTCGACTAGCTTTTGCCAACTTGCGTCATTTATGGCGTAGGCGAGATATCCGTCTATCAACCAAAGGACGTGTTTACTGCGTAGCAGTTCGTTCCTTCCTACTTTATGGCAGTGAAACATGGCCGGTAAGACTAGAGGATATCCGTAGGCTACTAGTATTTAATCATAGGTGTCTTCGAAACATTGCTCGTATATCATGGGACCATCGAGTAAGTAACACAGTTGTTAGGAAACGGGTACTAGGTAAGGATGGCAAATCAATTGATGAAGTAGTGAAACTTCATCAGTTGAGATGGCTGGGACACGTGTTACGTATGCCCAACGACCGACTGCCTCGACGTGCGATGTTCAGTGGTATAGGAGTAGGTTGGAAGAAAGCTAGGGGCGGCCAGACCAAAACATGGCACAAGTCCATGAAGTCACTGACAAGTGGACTGAGTCATGTTGGCTTGTGTAGACTACCTGGTTGGGGACCGCGAGATGAAAGCAACCGATGGTTAGAGACCCTGAATGACATGGCTCAAAATCGTTTGTAATGGCGCAGGTGCATCCACTCTTTGTGTTCTCCCAAATTCTAATCTTCTGATTTCTTCATGTCCGTTTCTTTTTTTCTCTTTCCAAATTTATTTCACTGGATTATAGTCCTTGAATAACATCTTCAAACCCTAATTTTTTTGATTACAGCTTATAATCTTACTACATCTAGCACTACGGGATTTGAATGGACCACTGCATCTCTGTGCTAATGTGGTGTGGCAACTCGAACTGATGTACGTACGTACGAAGTTCTACGTTGGGACTGACTGACTGACTGATACACAACTCAGGTTATTTATGTTTTGGTCGTATGTAGTGTTTCAACCATGGTTGTCACTCTTCACTGTCTGCATCATTGAACTTTGTTGTAGAAAGGTCACATATACAATACAGTCAACATCTTACAGGTGTAACTGATGTGACTTAATGGTCAGAAACTGACAATTAGCTTATATTACTTTAAATGAGTAGAATTTCTATGTTTAACGGTTCTTGGTTTTCATTATCGTATAGCTTAAATTCAGTGTTCTTGTCACTTTACGTCACTTGTGGCGTAGGCTAGATATCAGTCTTCCAACCAAAGGGCGAGTTTACCGCGCAGCAGTTTGCTCCGTCCTACTTTATGGATGTGAAACATGGCTGTTAAGAATATGGGATATTCGTAGGTTACTAGTATTCGACCATAGGTTTCTTTGAAGCGTTGCTCGTGTATTTTGGGGTCTTGGAGTATGCACTGTCTGGGTTAGGAATAAAGCACTAGGTAAGATGGGTAATCGACTGAAGAGGTAGTAAATCTTCATCAACTGATGTAGCTGGGACATGTGTTACGTATGCTCAACCATCGCCTAGCTCGACGAACGATTTTTGTTTGGTCTAGGAACAGGCTGGGAGAAAGTTAGAGATGGCCAGACGAAAACAATGGCATCAGTCTATGCAGTCGCTGACAATTGAACTTCGCCATATTAATATGTGTAGACTCCCTGGATGGGGTTCGAGTGATCATCGTAACCAGTGGTTAGAGACTGTATGACTTGGCTCAAAATCGTTTTAAATGGCACACGTTCATTCATTCTTTGTCTTCCTCAAAATCCTGGGATTCTAAATCCCTCATGACTTTTTTATTCTTATTTCACTAATTTACATTTTTCCGGGTTGTATCTTCGATGTCTAATCTCTCTCATTACGACTGATACTGTGCTACCTCTACTAATCTGGGGTTTGGCCTGACGACTTCATCTCTGTGCTAATGCGGTACGTTAACTTGAACCGATGTACATACGTATAGGTTCTACGTTGTGACTGACTGACAGTAGTGATTTTGGGAGTTGATTATTTCTATTCTGTATCGTTTAGTATATCTGTACCAGAGTTAACAGGATTCTCTAAAAAAACGGAATGTTACCAAAATCTTGTTTCCAATACTTCAGTTGAAAAACAAGTTATCCCTGAACGTGTTGTCGCCTGGTGATCACTGATCACAGGATATCATCTTATCCAAGAAAATTTTGTTTTCTAATTTTTCGACGGAATTTATATTTTTTTATCGGACATGAGAACATCAATTGTTGTCTCATCTCATCCAATTTAAACTGAATGATTAAATTTCGTCAATTTATAAGTATGCATTAGAGGCTGATAATCATAATTTATTATGTGTCCTATGTTGAATTAAGAAACTTGACGATAACCAGTGATTCGTTTCCATACCAACTTTTACCATAAAAGCCTCTAGGTCTGCTTAAAATGAAGCTGACATAATTGCTAATATAAATTTTGATGTTTTTCTGTAGTGACTCATTTTTATTTTAGTAACTATAGTAATTCCATAACGAGAAGTCTGCAAAATTACTGCTAATGTTATTTCTACCCAGTGTAATAAATCTACCCTGATCTAAATATAACCTCATAAATAAAGTGACATAAATTATCCTCCAAATATATATATATATATATATATATATATATATATATATATATATATACCACCGAGAAAGGTGTACAAGAAAAATGACCCTTCGTTGGAGCTGACTACAAAGAGGAAACCCTGCAAATGTGTTGAAATGTCATCTGTTTCTTCATTTTTCAACTTTCTTCTTGCCTTATTAGTTACTGTCTGTTCTGAAAACGAATGGCATATTGGTAAGTTATTAAACTACCAGCTATCAGCTAGCACGTCCAAGAATTCAAGACTCATTGGTGTGTATAATTTCACTAGATTTATCATTTATTACATTTCACCTATAAAATAATGTTATTTTAATCATAATTCCTCGTTATCTTCAAGCTTCACTTTATCAAGAGATACTTTAGAATGTCTGTGCTAATCAGCATATACGTACAACTATACACTAAGTCGTAGGTGGTAGAAACTAACTTCCTGTAGTTTCGGTCAATTAATAAAATTTGACCTTATATTGTTGACAGCCTACTTAGTAATTTTATACTCAAAACAATACTTGGATTAGATGACTATGTATAACTTAGTATGGTTATGTATATTTGTTGCGTGCATAGTGAGCTTATAAAAGACTAAGTAATCATTGTAGTACAGACAATATTTTCTGATATTCTATTCTATCTGTATAGCGATTGTTCGACTTTGTGTTTTTACAATTAAACTGAACAGTTTTAGAAGGATCATTATCAAAAAACTATATGATGAGATATACTATGGAGAAAACATTCACCTTCGAACACTGGATTCATAGTTGGTACATATGATAAAACTTAATATGTTATGCGTTGAATTAGTGTTGGATTAATAATTAATTGTTTAACTTCCAGCTGTTTTACTTTACTTATGACCATTATTTAATGATCCAGTGCTGATTTTTGCACTTCAAAGTCGATATATTACTGTTTAATAGAAAATATTTGGTAACCTGTCTACACTAAACACATTTCCATCACGGTATTACAGTTACTATACTACGTGATTATGAACGTATTAATAAATTTAATGCTCATAAGAATAGTAAAGACGAAATATTTAGTTAGAAATGACTCCATTCATAGTCTTCATAATGTGACAATTTATGGCAAAATTGAACACAACATACATCTATTATCTTTTTTAGAAAGATATTTCATAGTAATAGGCTTTGGTTGGAAATTTTTGTCCCAGAAATATTTTTCATGCTTCTCGAAATAATCACTTCAGTTCTATTTATTCATTTATGTTTTAAACTTACAATTAGCAACTTCTCAATGATAAATCATAATTGCGTTAATAATTTGATCATAAAAGTCAACCTATGCTTTGGAGATCATGGGAAATTTCCAAGTGTAAGTTATTTCAGTCACTAGAAGCCTGATTAACTGGTACTGTCTATGAAACTTAAGATTTCCTTCTTTTTGGCAATCTCTACTCATGAATTAATATTTCTAGTATAACTGTGTATCAATCACTAAATAACACCGAAAATAAAACTAATAAATGAAATAGTTTATTCAAGTCAATTCAGTATACTAATATTGTTTTAGAACAGCATATATAAGCGAACAATATTGCTATTGATTAGATCCTTATCACTCATACTCTAATATATCGTAATTCCTCAACTAAAGGATAGTTCACCTGGTTCTGCCACATCTACGTGTATCTACAAATTCAGCTGCTATTGTGGCGAAAGCTATATTGGGCACGCTACCAGACAACTGGGCCAATGAGTTAGTGAACACCTCCCTTAGTGATTAGGATAGGGTGTCATCAAAACAATACGTGACTCTGTTCTATCACAATTGATCGATAACAGTCATATAGTAGACGGAAATGGGTCATTTCAAGTGATATATCGTATTCCTACTAGTTTTCCTTATGATGTTCGATTTCGTATGTTACACATAACAGAAGCCATAGGAATCCGAGCTAACAATCCAAATCTTTTTATTCATAAGAAATTTGCAACACCTTTATCTCTCCCCTGGTTCTAATAAATGATTTTACCCTCCTACTTATTTTCTTCAAAATATACGCTTCATTGTCCAATTATCTGAACACTTCTTATTGCACAACCTTATAGTTTTTATGAATGTTATCTCAGCATCTATATTTTTCAAATCATTGACCTAATTCCCACTATTAAACATGGATACAAGCCATTATTATTATTATTATTATTATTATTATTATTATTATTATTATTATTATTATTATTATTATTATCTCACTATCAATTTGGACCTCTCACTTATGTTTATTTATGTAATCTATTACACTGTTATCATTCACTCACAGACTACCTTGATTGGTTTAATAATTTCATATATGCATATAAATATTACTGTATATTGGAGTAAAGCCTGATGAGGATTTAATCGAAAACAATAATGTTCGCTTATATATGTTTTATTTCATAATAGTTTTTTGCTTGACTGAGTGAATAATATTTAGTAACAATTCAGTATGCGTAAGAACTTTAATGAAGTATTTTCTCGCAATTTTGCTTCACTCACTAAGCTGAAAGCTTCTTATTTAGATTCTAACAAATCAGCATGTCTCTTAAGTGCAGTCATTTTATCTTTGTTTATTAAAACTCAGACTGCTATTTTAAAGGAAATTCAATGTCTGGTTTAGTAAAACGTATGTTCTTACTTTAAATTTGATTATTGTTCATTAACAGATTAGTTTTAAGGTAACGGCTATTAAATGATTACAGTTGTTAGGTAATTTTTGTGCCTGTTTCGCCGGAAGTACACTATCAGATTATAAGAACAAAGGAAGATAGCGAATTGGTAATGAAACAAATGTAGAAAGTAATTAATTTAGCAAAGGAAAACAGACTCGTGAAGAAATAAGTCAAAAACACATTCTTTTTAATCTAATGGGTTATGTATGTGAGAATTCTAGTAATGTACACATGTACGAAATTTATTATTCTTGATGTTGTACAGATTTGTTCTAGCTAATATCCGCACCTTTTTTACAGCTGAATACTCCAAATGTGAAACCAAATATGCTTTTAATCAAGCATGAACAAGATATCCCCTAATTAATTTATTTCAAATGGTAATCGTTAGCCTAGATTTATGCGTTCGATCTCATATTTAGTGAAGTTTAGTCAATATTATTGGAGGGAAAACCGGAGCCGTTTATTTGTGTAAGATAGATAATATCATTTTAGTTAGTTTGATTTCTGTCCTTGAACTGGTAAATGTCTAGTAGACTACATTTTGATGGATTAATTTGACATGTTCATTTACGTTTAAGCAATTTAGAATATTTACCGATGTAACCTAACTTTCTGTCGGATTTTTTTTCAAACTTCTAAAGCTGTGATATACGATGATGTATTCGATCAAGTAAATTATAATCTAACTGATTTGTTCCTGGCACTGGAACCAACTCTTGAACACTATGCTGATATTTCTACAAGAAATTCTACTTTACCTACATCCCAAAAATTCAAATTTACTATTGAGAAGTTTTTTATTAACCAATGTAAGTAGATTTGTTTCATACTGATTAATGTGTAAATGGAACTTATCTTGAAAAAATGACTAGAAATACCATTATGTAGTTGAAATGTTCTCCACAAGTTAGTTCTTGATCTTCTATCCAATTTTTTTCTGATACACAATATCAAAAACTTTTTCCTGTAAAAAAGATAAGCCCTATCCATCACTTTGTTAATAACCAATTGAGAGAACAAGATCCTACAATCCAGGCAACGATTTAGTTTTAGTAAAATATCATGTTACAAATATCTAAGATGAATTATATTCTAGACGTATGAAACAATATTAGTAGTGTTCATTATTGTTAAAATGAAAACACACTAGTTTATCTGTGTAGAGTAAACTACAGTACATGTGAATAAGTAGCAAATATATTTACCGAAAACTATATTTATAAAGTGTAATTGAATATACTAGGTGAACAAAGAATATAAAATATTTGGTTTATAATGAATACTAATTTGACGTTACCTAACTATCAATATGTGACAGGCATAATTGTCTATTTAATAGGCATCCATTCATGGAGTAGTAGTATTTGCCTTATTTTATTATGCTACTTCACTAACTTGATTGGTAGTACTGTTTGACTTTTCGTTATGGGCGAAGTGAACCTAAAATAAGTGACTTACCATCTTGTTGAGTCTTACTACTTTGTCAGTTGTATTAACCTGCATGACATCAGCCAGTTAGACATCCTCTGAACAAGACTACTTTACTACGATTTGAATTTTAACTTTCTTCCACGAAAATCATTTATTTTGACGATTAACTTCGTACAGACACAATTTAATTTCTCTTTGTGAAAACTGAACGTTTCTAAAAACATGGACAGATATGTAACACCCTTGAAAAGCCTACAATACAGTCCTTTTGTGTTAATATGCATTAAAAATACCTTAAGCACCATAACTTTTGTTTATTTGCAAAAAACAGTAGTAAGTGATATTAAATCCTCTACACACCTTGTGAAAGTTGAGTGTTAGTCATCCAATGGTGCCTCGACAGCATTATTCTAATCTTTAGTGTTACTGATTAACAGCGGTCATTCCTGATCCGACTCGTTTTACTATTCATCGTTTGTTACATTATTGTGGTGATATATTCTCCAAATTAGGATGTTTTAAGAATATAAGTACTTAAATGACTTCTAGCTGTGCACATCAAGCAGTAAATAGTGTGACTTAAGTTGCTAATAACTCAGCGCTCTTTGATCGGTTAACTTGAATTAGCACGTAAAAGTGATGATCAGAGTTGGTTATTATTAGATAATAGACTCATATTCGCAAATCAATGAAGAAGAGGTTTAGCTATTGACAAAGTGACTGAAAATACTTGTCGGTTTGATGCTTTCATATTTATTTTTAGCCTTACGAGGTGTAATTGAATTAACTGTTAACGAAATGCAGGACATTGTTACTGTGTATTTGTTTATTCAAAAAAAGAAAAGATAATTTCACCTTAATAGCTTGAAAAAAGAACTACAATTTATACTTCACTGTATTCATATATGAATGAGTGCATAGAAGACAAAAGTAAACCTATCTACTTAACAATATAGGTTAAACAGTTTGTTTTCTGCATTGAAAACTTGATTTGAAATCAACTGATGTGTATTATTATTATTATTATTATTATTATTATTATTATTATTATTATTATTGTTATTATTATTATTATTATTATTATTATTATTATTAGGGCATCCATAAAATAGGCCAGCGAAATGAGGTCTGAATTTTGTAAAAAGCGATAGTAAATGCTTCAACTTAACCATTGAAAATGCTAAAGTCTTAAACTACTAAGAAATTTGCAAGGAAAAAGTCCTTTAAGTCAAAACTTAACTAGATTTAATACAGTTATTCTATATCATTCAAGCAAATACAATCCAATAAAGCTTGTTGTACTAAAAATTATTCACATAGGTGGAAGCTGTTTAAAAGGTGTGATATGAAGTTATGTAAAGTAAAAATTGTTTGTAAGCCTCAGTTAGTAAATTCACATGTTAGTAAGTTCAGTTAGTGAAGAACATGTGCTAAATTTGTACTGAAGCCAGATATAAAATTACCTATGAAGTTCAAATGAACTTCAAGTTTAGTGAAAAAAGTTCCACCATAACGTGTTTCAACCAAACTGTCAAGATCATGCGTCATTTGAATTTAGACCACCATGGAAACCCTGGAAGCACTGGACGGCCGTTTCGTCCTATCGTGGGACTCTTCAGTATTGCGCATCTACGATCTCGCTTCACGAGACTGGAACCCATATTATTATTTCCTGGAAGTTTTATTGGCTCACTTTCTGATTTAGAAATTAAACTTAGAATCACCATATGATATTTTAGCCAGTGAGTTGCACATAAAGTAAATTTTTTCCAGTGAATATATTTCTATGGGTTGCCGGGTACTTTTATAACGTATTCATCCAAAACGAGAAATGTTTCCCAAAATGATTGAAGATTAAGTCAGATTTGCTTACTCTTTGACAAGCATTTTATTCTGTCTTAAAGTAATATTGCGAATTGTAATTTGCGAGAAGCTCTTCAAAAAGTATTGGCGGAAGGAAGAGAAAGTCTTTGTTTTTCCCAAATACTGGTTTGTTTGATAGAATAATATAATAAAGTTGTTATTTAAACCAACAATTTTATTACGAAATATAAAATGTGTGTCGAAAAAATTTTCTGAACACATAATGCTCTTTTCTTTGCAATAATAAGTTGTTAGTTAAATCATTCAGTTCAGTTACATACAAGTAGAGGAGAATAAAAAGCGATTCATTCATTTTCTTATCTTCTAGTGTGCAGCCTCATAAGCCAGGGTGTACATTTAGTTCTCAGTTTGACAGCATGTTCAACAGCTGAATATTTGGAAAGTGAGGCATATCGTTATCACCTACCTCATGTTGCCATACCAAGACCTGCATGCGAAGAGAAACAGACAACAAAGGTTACAGAAACAACAACTATATGGATTCAAACAGATCCTTTTCGGATGGCCAAGGCTTTTTTGGAGATCAGTGAAATGGAACGAGCTTCACATGCACTTATCTTAGCCGATGGACTTACTGGTATATTAATTTTCACTCACAAGTCATATAAAGCTACTTTATTACTCAATATATATTACTTAAACCATTTTACAAGTACCATTAATGATACTTTGACCTCGTTCTTACTTGAATTGTATCAGGTAACGTGATTTCTAAATTGATTCTCAGGTTTTGAATTCATCTGGCTCAGGGAGGAAAAGTCATGAATACATTGCACGCATATGTAAACACAATTTATTCATCGTTTTCTGATAAAATTAATGAACTAAGTTGATAATTATGAAACGGAGGTTCTAAAGCCTTTAGTTTATCAGTAGATTTTTTAACAAGCCCATTGAAAAAAGTAACTTTATTTAAATCTTTCTACAATATATTTTTCGAAATCAATGCTGACAATAAATTAGGCCGTTGCAAATTGTATAAAATACTGCTACTGACAAATCATTATATGGAAAATAAATTTGATGTGTCATGTTGCCGATGTTTTCTAACAACTTCTATGATTATTGACTAAATCTTTCAAAATATAAAAATACCTTAGTGATAATCTTTCGGTGCTTAGTGAGTAATGAATCTAGGTTGGTCTAATGGTACCAAAAATAATTCCGTAATTAAACGTATTATTCGTCAATTAGTGTCTCATTCTTGATGTTACATTAAGAATAAAACCCCTTCAGTAAAAAATAATAAAGAAATAATCAAGGCATTGTACGCTAATGCGAATTTCAATACGTCCTATCGTTTATATAGAGGTGCAAAACTTTTAAGATTATAACATGATGTTTTTATGTTTTAGCAATGACATCAATCGACAATATTTACTTATATTTACGAGTAAGTTGCCACAAGTGTGACACATCTAGGGTGGATGTTGTTGGTTGAGAAGGATTTTCTGTTTGGGTAAATCGACGTGCCAGCTCTCAACATTTGTTTACTGAACACTGAAAGTATAGAATATTTCGAAGATTAAAAGCGTCAATGAATTACAGAACTATTGTAATTCTGTATTAACATTTTCTCTCAATTTCATTTAAACATAACTATTTTAACCATCAATAACTATTGTTATTTGAAATGTTAGTTATTATTATTACTTTTATTTCCATCCTTTATGTTTTGTAAGCTAGCAGTGAATTATTTGAAGGCAAGACCACACATGTACTGCTATAAGTCATCTATTCATGATGAAAATAAGTGTCGATGAGGAATTATTTCTCTAAATTCCGACCTTGATGGTCTTTTCTCATCTCGTTGGTAAAATGATCAATAGGTAAACAACCGTATGATGATACCATTTATTACGGGCAATTACTTATTGTTATTAGAAACTATAGAGATTTATCTAAGATAGTTGGATACAAAGTCGAACGACATATTAATGATGGGTAATACATATTTTCTTCACATTAACAACTCTTATTTACAATTAAATCACTAGTTGGATCTTTATCAGTTACTCAGTTAGGTACACTGACGTTTAGTTTAAAATTTAATCAGTATCCTGAAAAGTGTTGAAACGCTGAAAATTCATGCAAATATAATATTCGATTCTCAAAACTAATCTCGTTAAGTTAGATTGCTAGGCCGAAATCGTCAAGTGGTAAAAAATTTAGGTGGATTTAAAACCACGGTGGTTTCATTTTAAAATCTGTTTGGATAAATTTAACATCAAAAATGTAAAAGTCATCGGTGTTTCATGTCATATATAAGTTAATATATCATGATTCAATATACCAGTAGTCATGGCTTTGATTTTTTTCTGATTGGATAATCAATTTAAAGAGTTTTACTTCTTGAAGCAACTAAAACTGTATTCATCAAATGCCTACTAAAAGGAAGCTAATACATCTGTATTATTACTAGAGTATACCAACCGTTGTTGCACTGTAGATTGTTTTTGATTATTCCACAAATATTTAAACATAATAAAATTCCCAAAGTATTTAGTTATTTTCAGTCATATAGACTTTTGGTATTTTATCGTCATAAACTGTTTTATGTTCTTGTGTGCTTATGCTCTAGTGCACTTGGTGTATGATTTGTAAATGATTATATTCTTTATAATTCCATTTGAGAAGTAAGAAATCTCTATATGCGTATTGTTAACACAACTATTAACTAACCGAAAATTTTTTTAAGTAATGAAATTTCTGTTTATAAATTTTATTCTTCAGCTATTATCCCAGAGATATATGACCTCACATTGCGGAGGAAAATTGAAAATAAGAGATTCTACACTGATTTCTCAACGCAATTATTTTCATCAAACAAATGCATAAATTCATTCAGCTCGTTTAGTGAAATAACATTAGATCAGCTTATTGAAACATTGATGGAAAATAGACCAAAGATTACCATCACAAAATCGTATTTAACGCATATATTCCTGATTCATACAAAACCTTATCATTTAGATTATTTTAGAAAAGTAAGCAAATGCAGATTATAAAGTCATTATTGTACGTTGTATACTAGTAGCTAAAGTTTATAGCAAGAAACTAGAAGCTAATGTTAACAATAAATGTAGTCATTTTTTGATCCAATTAACTTGAACTCACTGCAGTGGATGTAAAATTGTCTTAAAAGAGTAGACAAAACTACTGTCTTACCAAGAATATATATATATATATATATATATATATATATATATATATATATATATATATATATATATATATATATATAGTCATTAGAAAATCTCCTTTATTTAAAATGTTCATACTAATACAGACACCAGCAAATGGGTGAGTGGAAAAGGGTATGCATTAATAAAAGTGATCAGTGAAAAAAGGAATAACATTTTTAACGGTGTAAAATATGTTCTCTTTATCGAGATTAGATGGTGGTTGGAGGTAGTCGACAGGAAACCCTAGACCTGGGTTTCATGCCACTTGGCACTCGTCAGCAAGGCGTACCTGTAATCTTGAGGGAACTGGTGCTCTTTGACGGATTAAGTCCCGTGTCACCCAGCTTCACAGTCAGAGACGTTACCACTGAGCTATCCGGGCCGCGATCAACCTCCTGTAGGACTGAGATGTAATCACAATTGATTGATCACTGGGTGGTGATCAATCAATTGTGTATCAAGTCCTTATTTAGTGCAGATCGAATGCTATCGACCATGTTGCAATGTGGCCACTAGCCTAGGTCACTCGACACTTCGTGAACTATATATTGAGATTAGATGGTGGTGGTGATGTTCCCTTTATCCTCTGTTCCTCTGCCTTACGACCAATCAGAAACGTATTTTCCTAAACTTATGATAAAGAGTCTAATTTCAGCAAGGATCGATAAATACTGTAATTTGTCGAATTTGGTAACGAATTATTATTATTACCCAAGTCAGGTTATCTTATACGTCTACTCCGAACAAATAGAATATAATCTATTTAAAGGGATGTTTGTTTGTGTAGAATTCCTTACAGATCGAGAATTTGTCAAACGATTTCGGGTGGCCGAAAATGCAGACGTCACAGACTTGTTAACGAATAGATATTTGCAGTGAAAATGTACTGATACATAGAATAAATTAGCGTTTATTTGTTTTGAAATAAAATATTTGAGCAGATTTCTAGATGAAACAGTTGTATATAAAGTCCAGAACAGATAAACATCCCTTTAAATAGATTATATTCTATTTGTTCGAAGTAGACGTATAAGACAACCTGACTTGGGTAATAATAATAATTCGTTACCAAATTCGACAAATTACAGTATTTATCGATCCTTGCTGAAATTAGACTCTTTATCATAAGTTTAGGAAAATACGTTTTTGATTGGTCGTAAGGCAGAGGAACAGAGGATAAAAGGAACATATTTTACACCGTTAAAAATGTTATTCCCTTTCTCACTGATTACCTTTATTAATGTGCCCCCTTTTGATGGTCGCCCTTAATATCATAAGCCCTTTTTATCTGTCCCTTTTTACACTCGCCCTTTGATAGTTGTCCTTCCGCTCATTCCTTTTTGAACGGATACCCCACCGATTACGCAAAACTATTCATTGATAAGTATATATGTTTGGGAGAATATAGCTTTTTATGTATTTGGTGACTGTGGGAATAAATAAATGTGTTCTAAGCAATTAATAAATAAGAACTTTCGTCTAAATTTGAACGAATAGTTCCACAATATTTGGGCGTCTAGTTAATGTGAGACATTAAAGAGGATGATTTTGTTGTTTGATTATATTTTCCTTGAGAAAGCTTGGACCAGATTGCCAGGCGAAACGTTGGATTTACTTCAAATTCTTTCGTTGAGATTTTACAAATACATTCTTCCTATTTAATGTGTTCTAAGCAATTCGTTATTCTATATAATTCAAATAATTGACCGCTGTATTTTAGGAGTGTTCGTCTTTCACAGTTTTACACTTTTCGAAAACGTTTCTACTGGTTATTTTGTATGCCTTTTAATGACCCTAATTTGATACTATGAAGCAGCAGTGAACTACATGTGTGTATAACCTAAAATCTATGTATCCGAATATATCAACCTATCAGTAACTAACAAGTCCATAGAAGACTGAGTAACTGTTAATTCTCGACGATATTCATAGTATTTTTATTTACTTATGAAATTATTTATTGAGATAATAATGCTTGTACTATTGTTCCTAGAAATCTTTTATATCTGAAGTTATATTCCAGGTTACTAGGTGATCATTTCTTGTATTCGGTTGCTGGCAGGAATAAAAAGATAATAACATAAATATAAAAAACGATTCTGCATAGTTTGGTATAAAGTTATCTACTTTATGGATTACTCTTGCAAAATAACTAGTTGGTCATAACTAATTTCGTCTGTCATTTTTAGAGTAGCTTCTGAATGAAAGAAATTATCGTCTCTTAACTGATATATTTTTCGGGCGTGACTAAAAAGCCATGTGATCGAGGAGCAGCAATCTCTATTGATTGGTTTTAACTTTGCAATACAAAATGTGGCATGAAATCACTTGAACTGATGGTCATATGAAGCATTCAGTCAAGAAAATCTGTCTATCGCTGAAGGCTAGATGGTCCGACATTTCAAGTCTAGTATCCATTTATCGGTTCTGAATTATGTTACTGGGACACAAATATATCCATTTTCGAATCTTGGATACAATTTAAGTTTAGATCTTGCACATGAATTTTGATGATGTCGTTATGTAGAGGTTTCTATTGATTGTTTTTATTTGGTTAAAAGCTCGAACCCTTCACTAAGTAAATTCATGTCTATGTATTAAGAAGATCATGCCCTACAAGGCTTGGTAGACTGACCAGTTAAAGAGCATTAGAATTTCTCTGACTACTGTTTTACAATTTTCATAGGATATTGTTAACATTAAGGCCTAGGTCTGGTTTTTTCCCTTTTAATTATACAGGTTTTTGAGAAATCTAACATTACAAAGGACTACTATTGGATTTTTGATGAAATTCCTGATGTGCCTATTAGAGATCTATTAAATCTTATTGCTTCATCAAGTGTTACTAAAATGAAAGTGGGATTTTTTCGACAGTTTCCTGTGTTAAATTTTAACGATCTGTCAAAACATGAATTGCAAAAGGGCACTCAGTTATTGATTAAATCTGCATTGCATGGAGAAACGCATAGTTTCCCTGTAAGATTTTGTTTTTTAGTTATTTTTGATGTTAAGGTGAACTAAGTGTTAAATTGTATCAATATATTAACACAAATCTATTTCATACCATATACAAAAATTATAAGTTGATAGAGAGAATTCGTTGCGTAGCACTTAAAGCTGATTTGTATTTTGTGTTTAACAAAAATATACATTGGTAATTTTACCTTTCATGCTTATTAAGTTAATTAGCAAAATAAGTTTGGATCCTTTGATTCGATTACAAAACAGGTATCCAGTATTCTTATAAATTCGAACAACATATGTAAGCGAACAATTGTTTCCATTTAGATCGTCATCAGGCTTTACTCTGATATATATGAACATTTATACGAAAATGTTAAACCAATCAAGGGAATTTAGGTCAATAATCACAATGAAATAGAATAAGTCACCACACAGAATAGGTAAAAAAACATGTTGATAGTAGGAAGACAGGTGTAGATAGTGAAGAACACGAACGGAAAATAATGGTAACGATAACAAAACTAAAATAAAAAGTCGTTTGTTAAGTTATAACCGGCCATGGAAGTGAAAGAGGGTCACGAATTTTTTCTGTACACATAAACTGGGGTTAAATGTACGAATTCCTATAGCTCCAGCTATATGTAGGAGATGGGATCGAACTCCGTTGGGAAATGATGGAGGTATATGATAGATCACTCGAAATGCTTCCGACTTATCTACATTATGACCGCTATCAATAAGATGTGCCAAGATAGAACTGCGTATTGTTTTTATCTAGCCCTTTATAAACCAAGCTGGTCGATGTTCACTCATTCGTTGGTTAAATTACCTGGTAGTACGCCCGATATAACTATCTCCAAAGGAGCAGCTGAATTTGTAAATGCACATTGAGGGGGTCAACTCAGATAACTTATCCTTCGTTTGAGTAGACATCGCTGGTCGATGACGATCTAATTGAAAACAATTATTCGCTAACATGTGTTGTTCAAATTTTCACAACGGGAATCTTAAATATTCTTATAAATACATCAACTATGAGTATATGATTGTAATTAATATCTGTTTGATCATAAAAATTTACCTAAATTTATTTGTAAAATAGAAAAGATCCAATTTATTTAAAGTTTATCTGATCAGTGTTTCAATGCACAACTAGGATATAATGATGAAAACTTTTGTCTGTAAGTTGGCTTTATTGGTAGCTATAAGAATTATGTAAATCGACGTATGAATACATTATCCACGCTGAACTTATAAAATGATTCGTTTATCATATTTTTACAAAAGCAGCTAATTCGTATTAACCATATCACACCAATTGATTTAAATGGGATTTTGTTTCTCAGATCACATATTTATTATTATTCTTTAGACTATTAGTTCAAGGAATTACAAATTAAATAGGGATTTGATGGACTTCGTATTGTATCATACGTTAACATTACATGACAAGTCGACTGACCTTTGATTTCTCGAATGGTAATATGCACACAGTCAGAAACGTTACCACTGAGCTATCCTCCTGTAGGACTAAGATGTAATCACAATTGATTGATCACTGGGTGGTGATCAATATCATGTGTATCAGGTCCTTATTTAGTGCAGATCGAATGCTATCGATCATGTTGCAATGTGGCCACTAGCCTAGGTCACTCGACATTGCGTGAACTATGGTTAGATTAGATGGTGGTTGGAGGTAGTCGACAGGAAACCCTAGACCTGGGTTTCATGCCACTTGGCACTCGTCAGCAAGGCGTACCTGTAATCTTGAGGGAACTGGTGCTCCCTGACGGACCCAATCCCGTGTCACCCAGCTTCACAGTCAGGGACGTTACCACGTGCGTACATAAAATGAGTTAATGACTTTTATTTGTATTGAGGTGAAGTAGTTTAACTGAGCAGAAATTGTAATTCACTTCTATGATTGAAATTTTATTAAAAATATGAACAAAACAAAATTTGCTGGGAACGTTTGAATTAACTGAAAAATTCCATTATTGAATGCATTCGCACTGGTTGAAAATAATGATTTCATTAGCTTATTCCGTTCATGTATAATTGATTATGTCCATAACTGGTGATTATTTGGCATTTCTAAATCAGATAATATTTTATCTAATTGACAATTTTATTGCATTTCCAAATTCTTTTTTAAATATTTTCTAATGAAATTGTAGTATCTGTTTTTTAGGAACGTGTAACTATTGCAGCTTATATGATAATGATTAGCAGTCAGATAGCAACCTTTATAAAATCATTTAACAGTTCATACTTGAACCGTAGTGGTATAAGTTGCCATCAAATCAACCCAATTGTGGACGACTTTGGTGGTAGGCTGTTTTATAACTTTCTCAGTCATGTAAGTTTTTTAGTGCTTATTCAAACATTATTTTTGATATAAAATAACTCTGTTGTGAATTATGGCGTGTTTTTAATAGAAAAAGCTGTAACTGTTGTACATTAACGGTTATTAGGTCTAATCTTGATTAGTAGTTAAGAGGTTTTAGTTGCTTCGGATTGTTTTCAGTGGTAATAAGATCAAATATAATGAAGAATTATTCGATAATCCAAGATTTTTTTCTACTTACTAAGTAACCTAACTTCCTATAGGTTATAAATGATGTTTAATTCAAATGCATACACACAAAAATAAGGATAGTGAGTTAATTATTCAGTTATATAAGCAAGCCTCCTGAATAGAACTAAGATTTCGGTTAATTTTTTAGAACGATTCTGTAACATTTGTATACATATCAAGTTTAGCGAAATTTGTTTAAGATTAGTTAACTGGATATCAATCACAGTCAGTTTTACTATCAATTTTACCTGGTTTCTGTTGTCTATTATTAATCCATCTGAGACTATAGTACAGTATAATAGTTTAGGTTAGGTATAGGACACTAGAAAAAAGGGTTAGTATATTAGTTAGGATATAAACTTTTATCGACTGAAGGGGTTAGGAAACATGTATTAAGCAGGTCGAATAAATAATGTTGCCTAATTTGGTTGATTTGGCATAATATTAAGGGTAGGCGAATTAAGATTTGGGATAGTTCTGAGACGCTAATCATTTCTAGTTTCATTAATGTTGCTATGTGCATATTCTGTGGTTAGAACTCATGTTATACTCGTAGAGAGTGGTGTGAGACGTTGAATGGGATTAGGGTAGAGCAGTTAGAAGTGATAGGATTGTATTATTTCTTCGTCTTGTTCTAAACATTGAATAACTCGTGACCTATAACCACTTATTTGTCTATCTCATTTGTGTTTTCGAAGTGTATTTCCAAGCTTGTTTATTTATTTATATTTATTTGAACAAATAAATATTGATACAGAGGGGCACCAAATACATATGCACCACACAGTAACAATGAGAATGTGAAGAGATGGAGAATGTAAAGTAAGTATAAGAAAAAGGGGAACAATAACGAACAGAAATTAGGGTATGAAACTGAAATAATGGGACAGACAGTTCAGTTAGCAAAAGTACGACCGGAAAGAATTCTTCCAGTTAAAGAAGTTACGTCCATTAATTTCCTATGAAGAAAGTAAAAGAAAGTCACAGCAGAATCGCCACTGGCTTCTATTTCTGAGCCATGTCTGATATTGTCTCAAGCCAATGTGTTGTACCATCTCTAGGACCACAACCAGAGAGTCGTGAAGGACTAACACAAGCCAGTCATGTACAGCTTTCTTTCATAATACGACATCATGTCATAAACTAACCAACTCTACGCTTTTCCCAACCGGTCCCATCATGAGCAAATAATACACGAGGTAAAATTCTTTGGGACGACATTCGTATCACTTGTCCGAGCCACCGAAGGCGAAGTTTCAAGATAGTAACACTAGCTGAATTATCGTCGCTGTGTCAGAACACACGATGCGAGCCCCTGCATTACTAACATAGTGTTGCCACTGGATGTCGGCAATCCTTCGGAGACAACGATGATCGAACACAGAGTCACCTAATATCCTAAAATCAAAGAGGGCAGGTTTCACAAGCACAGATAAAACTGATCTAACCGAAGCTCTGCAGATCCAACCATTTTCAGCAAGACTATCATCACGAAGGCGCCAAAGATGGCCCACATTGGCATAAGCCGCTCTGGCTTTCATTATTCGTGAATTGGTCTCACTGCTCATGTCACTACCAGCACTTATGCAGCTACCTAGATACACGAACTTCTCGACTACTTCTATCTGTTCACCATACAGGGTGAGTGCCAACTGATTAAGTGAGGATTGCATGGTTTGGGTATCATCGCACAGTAAGGCAATATCGCCTCCATACTCAAGATCGAGAAGGCTCTCTCCAAGCAACAGATCCGCACCACCAGTGCCTACATCCAGCAGATGTTTCCAGAATATCGTTGATGGCAAAGTTGAAGAGGAATGGTGCGATTGGGCAACCCTGCCTAACCCCACTGCTCGAATGGAACAATAGAGAGAGGTGGTTGTATGCCCTCACTTCGCCTGAGGTGTTAGTATATAGGGCTTTCAGGATGTTAATAAACTTCTCAGACACACCCTTCGTCGATAGACGATCCCAGAGAACAGTCTTATCCAACGAATCGAAGGCAGCCCTGATGTCAAGGTACACTACGATTGTTGGCCTCTGATAAGTATGGCGGTGTTCTAACATTTGGCGGAGGGTGAAGATATGATCAATAATTCCTCGACCAGAACGAAACTCAGCCTGCTCCTCACCAGCCAATCATTCCCGGGTTTTGAACAACCTACGAAGTATGCCGGAAGCCAATAGCTTGGACGCAATCGGAATTAGACTTATCCCCCGATAGTTGTTACAGGAACGACGTGAACCCTTTTTAAAGATAGGGACAACTATCGACTCATTCCATGATGTTGGTAAACTCTCTAGCTCCCACACCTTTGTAAACAACGTCGTCAGTTCCTTAGTCAGAAAGTCACCACCATCTTTAAAAAGAGCCGGAGGTAAGTCATCTGGGCCAGGTGATTTGTAACGCTTCAAGAGTTGGGGTTCCTTGCGGACTTCCACCTCATTTGGTGGATCAGTCGTCACCGACCATGGAGGGCAGGACAGTCTGATCGATGTTGCCGGGACAGCAGGCCAGTTGAACTGCCCTTCGAAAAATTCTGCTCATCGTCCAAGACGTCGATGGATGTTAGTGATTGGCATCCCGTCATTCTCGCAGATTGTTTCGCTCACACCAGACTTCTTGCTGCCAGTGGCTTGGATGAGTTGGAGGAGCTTCCGGTAGTTACCAGATGCAGCTGCTGCTTCCAGCTCATTAGCACGCATCGACCACCAGGTTTCTCGATCCTTACGTAAGCTTTACCCAACTTCGTTACGTATCAATCTCCGTTTGCGCTCAAACTCGCGGAAACAAGGGCATGGTCAGAGTCCAGATAGGTACTCCAAAAGGAGTGGCAGTTTTGTACACAACCATGCCAGCGGTAGCTGATCGCGATATGATCAATCTGACTACAGACTTGAAATGCAGACGGAGGACGCCAAGTAACGCATAGGCGATGACTGTGCCGGGAGCTTTTTCTAGCCAGAAACAGGTTGTGGTTTGTGCTCAGTTGCAGTAGATGGTCACCGTTACTTGGCCTGCCACTAATAGATTTTTATCTGCCACCCAAGCCACTTTCCTCTGTGCCTAGACGCACAACCTGAAAATTCAAGTCTCTAGCTTGTAGTACAATACCTGGCGAACGCACGTTCTATGGAAGTACGATTCACTGATGGTAGAACTCATCTTTGATCTCATCCGGGCTTCAACTTGTCAAAGCGTGGGCAGAGATGACGAAAAGACATCGCTTCTTACACCGGTTCTTTCTTACTTTGGTGGATTTTTCTAATCTAACAGCATATAACCGACTGTCATTGAGGATCCAATCGATCAGTGATGCCTCAGCTTTAGCGCTTGGTGCGACACCAAGGCAAGCAAAACGAGATGAAGATTTCACAGGGTCCACAGATATACTCATGTGAAACAAACGTTTCGAGGTGAAATGTGGAGAGCAAGTTCGTGGTACTTTTCCAAAGTTTTGAATACGGGTCTTGGATAGACAACAGGTATCGATGTTGAGACTTTCTAAAGACATACCCAACCCTGTCTGTTGTCTGATCTGCACTAGTATGCAAACGTTGAAGGAGGCCAGTGTGAATGGTATAAGTGGTTTCAGAAGGATTGGTTCAGTATTTGTAGTCGGTGGTAGCATTCAACTTTCGACCAGTCAGTGATTTGAGATAGTTTAGATAGGACAGGGTTTCCACCATAGGCGATCTGCTGTATGAGTTGGAAAATAAGAATTCACAAATTGAGAATAGAAGAGAGCAGATAAGTGACGTTGTAGATAGGAAAAATAAAAATCAGTGTTATCCAATGAATGCGATTTGTCTGATTTTTAATTGGAGCAAGAATAGTATTTCCTGTAGTAATTGTCATTTTATATGATTTGTATATGAGCTGTGATACTACCCGGGTGGCCAAACCGGGGCAGGTGGTTTGCTTAGGGGGTTACATATTGAGTCTTCGATCTAAAGGTCTAATCCACAAAGCAGTGGAGCAATGCTAGGAGATGCAGTCCCATGGTATCCGGTGACCAAAAATAGATTCATTCGCTTTTTGCTTCCTCAGGATCTTGGAACCCATGTTCACCATTCGTTTGGAATCAGGGGTTTCCAACTCCCCTAGGTAGATCCTCTGTATCCACCAACCCGGTTAAACCACTGAGCATTCGCTTTTTGTCCTCTCAATTTTGTAGACGTCACCCTCTCTTTGAGAAGGTAGGATAGGACTTCCTTGACAGTGGCTGTATGCACGTGGCCATTAGTAAGCATTTCAAAAGGGAGAGCGGACTTTCCCCAACCTCGACCGTACCAGGGCATTTGGGGGCTTGTATTTCCCTCTTCTGTTCAGATCACTCTGAACCTTGTGTTTCCCATCATGTTAATTCTCTCTCATTGTACGGGTCTAATGTATGGCAACTTGGAATAATAAATATTTGTGTCAAGTTTATAGTTAAAGATAAATAACTGGTTGAGATAAATGATGAAGAAACTCATCTCCATTATATTTAATACCGAACAATGTAGATTCTTCGGTAAATCGTCAGGAAGTGAGGTGCAATTTCATCCTTTTTATTTCTTTAAAAAATGTCTTGCATTAATTGTTTAATAAGCTATATGGTGGAATGAAGTTGTAAAGTGCTAGTAATTGAATTCTGCCTCAATGAGTGAATGATATCTTTTTCATCTGGAGACCTCAGAGTTTCAGGTTTGGTCTCTTGTGTGGTTATAGGTTCTGTAGAGCAAAAAACCTGTTTGAAAAAGCTGCTCATTGCTTCCTAGTTTTCAATAGTTGGTCAGTGTGTAAAAAGGAACTAAATTAGGGTTTGATAAACCTCCAGGAATACCAATACAAATAATGAAATTTTAAATGAGTGTTCATTGGAATAAATTTATGTGTCACTTCTCACTACTTATGAGTTGGTTATCTCAAAAATTAGTTTCCAATAAGCATAAACTCTTCTGATAAGTCATAAAATAATACTGAAGAACTTTTATCTAAACTGCAATAATGAAATACCTAGTCGTATGAAATATTCTCTAACTAGTGCTAGAGAATAATCCTCTGCTTAATAATGACCATCTCTTTCGAATTAATTATCCCGTAGCTCTGGTCAACTGTTCCTACACGCCATAATTTATTGTTTACTGAAATAAATAGTTCATTTTTTTCATTATTTATTCTGTCCTTTTTTAAAAAAGAGTATAACTTGCTTCTGAACTTAGTTTAGATCTATCACCTTCGAGTGTTAGATTTATTATTTATTACTATAAATGATCGTTTTTTACCTCGTTAATTCAAAATGATTGCAACATAGTCCCATATACTAAATGTAGTAATATGAAATCAAGTAAAATTTATAGATTTATATTGGTTATTATCTTCAGAATGGAGGAACTGGTATTTCATTTGCATAATCTCAGTGTTCACTTACTGTTTTGCTCAAATGCTAGAGGTCTGGGACTAAAGTCTGGAAATCTTTATGGTTTTACTCACTCGAAACGTTTGATGATGCAATGAAAAATTTTATATCCACTGCTCATTACACTCCTGATGACAATATGAAACTTACAAGTAAAGGAATGAAAATTAAGCAAAGAAGCTTGGAAAGTGGTCTATTTTCAACTGTCTTTCAGTCATTTAATAACAAAATTCTTCGAATATCAACAATTCTCGTAAGTACTTGATTAACTTAAGGCTTTTGGTTTAAAAATGTTTGATTGATGAAAACTTTGAGATAAAACATTTGTTGAATGTTCAGCGATAGCATTGATCCCTACAGCCTTAGGGTTGCTACTAATCTTAGTTTGATATGATGGTATACATCTGCGGTCAAGTTCTTTGTAACATTCTTACTGTCATTATTTGAGTTCCCGTGAATAAGCAGACAGTTTCTGACCGAATATAGAAATTACCGCACCATAAACCCTAACAACGTTACATTTAATAAAACGACTGTTTTACTTTATTTTAACTCCCTTCTTAAGGATTGTGGGATACAAGCAATGCGTGAAGGTCAAATTTAGTTCAGGATTTTTGCCAACTCTACGATAGTTCGTGGAGAGTCAATACCAACACTATCTTAATAATAACGAGGTTTGGAAATGTTTGGTTGCGCTCATTAATGATAATTCAGTCAGTGTCACCATCTTAAAATACTAGATTCTGTAGCTTAAACATATATCTTTTCAGTGATTTCTACACTGCTGCATTTCCAGAATCTGAAATTGGCTGGAAAGAACTTGGAGGTGGTTAGCTTATTACATATCACAGGTTCCTGAATGAAGGCTGTATAGGACTGGAATCTGTTGGTACATCTCAATTTCCTGGTTGGGATCCGAGAGATGGTGCAATTCACTGACATGAAGCGTTATTAAATGTGGCTTATAACAGGGACCAGCCACAGTCCTACCGTAGGTTTTTAATCCTACTTATAAAAAAACAAGAGTAAGTTACGTAACTGAATACATTCTTTCTGGTTGCGTTTTCAACTGAACTACCTCTCTCACTATAAGTTATTTTTGTTCACTCATTTTTATTCACTATTTATTTTAATTATACAATTTCCCCTCTATATTTTTTCACAATCTTATTTTCTTATGTTTGTGGAGCATGTTTATTTTGGAGTTCTATTATGCCACTATATATGCGTTTTAAGTAAAATAAATTAAAAAAAACTAAAGCTAATGAATAAATGCCTTTTAGTTGATTTTATACACTGATCGCTTCAGTCTTGAACGTTTATTTGTGTAAGTTGTTTTATTGGTCAGTTTCTAATTTGAGGGGAAATATTAGCTGTTTATTTCCTAGTTTCATAATGTAGTCTCCAAGTTCTATAAAGATGTTTTTCAAACTTAGCTATTTGCTAGCTCATTTCCAGATTTGACATTTAACACTCTCAGAGGATCACCATACTTACTTTCTTACGCCTGTTACCCCTCGTCGAGGAGCATAGGCCGCCCACCAGCATACTCCATCCAACCCTGTCCTGGACAATCCCTTCCAGATCTTTCCAGTTGTTATTCATTCTTTTCATATCTGATTCTATTTCCCGACATAATGTTTTCTATGGCCTTCCTCTTTTCCACTTCTCTTCAGGATTTCAAGTTGGGGCTTGCCCCATGAAGCAGTTTGGTGATTTCCGTAATTTATGTCCTATCCATTTCTATCGTCTTTTCTTAATTTCCTCCTTAGCTGGAAGTTGGTTTGTTCTCTCCCACAGAAGGCTGTTGCTGATGGTATCCGGTCAATGGATGTTGAGTATCTTGCGTTGACAATTATTTATAAATACTTGTACCTTCTTGATGATGGTTGTGGTAGTTTTCCAAGTTTTAGCTCCCTACAGTAGAACTGTCTTGACATTCGTATTGAAGATTGTGACTTTCATATTGGCTGACAGATGTTTTGAGTTCCATATGTTCTTCAATTGTAGGAGGGTCACCATAATATAAATTTATTTAATATGAAAAGAAACTTTTTATTAGGTGTATGAACTACTCAGACTCACAATTCCTTACTTCTTTGCCATATGAAAAAAAAGCTATCAAAAATGTTTCGATTCCTTTTGTCCCTAGAAAATTTCGTTTGTTTCTGATATGCTTTTTCAGTAACTTTGATGTAGATGCAAATAGGTAGATAGTATTGTTGCTAGTTTGAAATAGGCAGACGCTGAAAGAAAAGTCGTGCTTTTAGATTCTGTCAGACAGTCATTTCTAATAGAAATTCTAGGATTTTCTGTACATCTATAGAAATTCTACTGTGTATGTAAATCGACTAAACAGTGGTTGTTATTACCTGGTTATTTTGTTCAACAGGATCCTCCATTTGTTGTGACTGGTCAAGTAATTGAAAACGGAGAAATAATCAACGCTTCAGGATTTGCAATTGATATACTAAATGAATTGGCTATGCATTTCAATTTTAGGTAAAATATTCCCTTATAAATGTATACCGTTACATATGATGTCACAGTTGACAAAATTTTCGAAATAATTAATTATAACTTAGATTGTTTCCGATTTTCAAGCAGTTAATTTTCCTCGTTTTCGCACGTGTAATGAATCCATTCTGCATACAGGTGGTGTTGAACCATTGTATGAGTTGTTGACCTCAAAGTACAAAAAGTAAGGTGAAGTATTCATAAGTAAGCCGACTTAATGGTCGTTATTAAATTATAGTCAAATTTTTGGGGCAGAGTTGAAGGTATGTTGATCTTCAGTTATCTTCATTGACTTGGTTTATAGCGATATCCATCTATTGGAAGTGTTTACTGATTACATTCATTTCTTAATCCTTACAGAAATAAGTCATCTACGTACACAGTTTCGTTTAAAATCAGTGAAAGTTTCCAAATTGAGCTAATTTTTACTGTTCTATCATAAACAATCAGAGGGAATTCACATTCAGCCGACTGATATTTTAACAAGTGATGCGGACTTTCAAATGAATTTAAGATCCAGCTTAAATGTAAATAAATAAATACAGTTATTTTAGTAAAGATAAAGGCTTAAAGAACATATCTACCACTATATTGACCACATTTATGGTTCAAAGCACTGTCAAACAGTTTTTAGATTCAGAATTGGTAGCAGTTAAAAACCTTCAGCTTAGACATGAATATTCTCCACCTAACCATGAATGATTTTTTAATAATTAGCAACATTATTTTCCTTGATTCTCCCATAAATTTAACTTTAATGAATTCAGATTTATTGAAATATTCCCATTTATTATGATTAGAGATATATTAGATTCAAATAGCATATTCTTTAGAATGTAGATTGGAAAAGAGATTTCATGTGTGGAATTTCAAGTCTGAAGTCAACGAACTTTTGAACATTGAATAGAATTTACTGAAATATTAGACTTTTTAACGATACCGATTGATATAATTCCAATGTATTTTTCTAGCATAAATTCTTATTTAGTGTATATTTTTCCTTCTAGAAACTGGAAAACGAATAGCTTGAATTTAAAGTGTTAGTTTCTGAAAACAATTTAGCTAACATTTGCATTTTTCGATGAAACAGACAACTATAAACCATTAAACTACAAATATAAATCACTGGTTCTTTTATTATTAACCTTTTCAATGTCAATAGATATCGCCTTTTCTTACCACAGAACGGTACGTATGGCTCACTGGATGAAAAAGGAGATTGGGATGGCATGATGGGTGAATTGGTAAATGGAGTAAGTAAAGTATAAAAACGTCCAGTTAAACTCTTATTTAATGAAAAGAGCAAGAACAAAGATTCTAGCAGAATAGTACGAATTCATTTTATTTCGTAGGTTCTCGTCAGCTGCTTACAACTCGTGATATTTAAAAATCATAATTACATAATGGGTTTAAATTGCTTACTGAATATTGTAAATATATACCTAATGTGAAAGAATATTCTACAAGATTAATTGTGGCAACAGTTCAAAAGTGGGTTAGAAACAATCGATTACATAATGAACACGTCAAGATTTTAGAATTTCTCAAAGGGACAGAAATTAAAATCGTGGAGAAAGCTTGTTACAAGTATTGGTACCAATAGTTGTTTTTTATTCAAACTATAATCATTTTTAATTTTTGTCAAATTAATAGCTACCGAGTATATACATAACGTCTGGACTCATCTTTCATAATGCTTACTATAACCCCGGGTAAGGATCCCAGTATCGTAAGAAACTATATGTAGTTTAGCTTCCAAATCAGTGAATCGTTTTAGTGATGGTTCTAATTTTATTGTTCTTTGTACAATGTGTATAATAATTCTCAGAACCTTCCAATTTACTTTTAAAATAAATCTCAATGATCTTTGTTGTTACTTGGAGGATAGCTGCACATGAGGAGATAAGCAACTGCTTATTAAGAGGAGTATAATTTTTATATTAAGAATAATATTTATTTGTATTAGGATAAAAACAACATTCTGATTGTCAATCATAAAACTCCCAACAACTTGTCGTAAAGAAATTATGTGACGGACTAGTGAATTTTTTCCACATGATGACCGATTTCGTATGGTCCTTGTTCTGTATATCGTTTCCCGACATGTCATAACATATCATTATTGTAGATGGGTACATATCAGTATAACTATGTCGTTAAATGAACTGGTTAAAAGTGTTATTTGTTTTAGTGAAAATATTTACACTGAATAACTGAAACACCAATCATGATCAATATATTAGTAGTATGTATTTATTTGAAAATGATATATGGTAATGTACTGCTGTAAGCTGGTAGAGTTTAGTCGATAGTTAGTTCGTTTGAGAAGTGTAGATGAGCTCTGGATGAACCGTAAGTTTTTCTTAGAAATGAAGCATCTAATTTAGGTTTTATTAATTTATACAATGTTTGGAATATATAGAATTTTAGAAATTATCATTTCCTCTAAATCTTCGAACATATAAATATAATGTAAATGAATACGTTGACTATTTACACATGTTTCACTAAAATTATAATTTCAACATTCTCAATTACTTAGTACTTAAACATCTTACTTCTGGATCTAAATTTTATTGTAACGTTTGTTAGTTCAAAGAATCGTGAGCAATTTAGAATGATACTAGACATCAAATACTATTTAGTTCAAAAGACTACTTGTTGTCTGTATCCTTATACCCAACTATTCATAGATGAGTATATCAGATTTTTATCAGACAATTTTATGTTTTCAAATTGTTACCAATGCATGTTATCAATAGTTCTGGGAACTTTGAGTTATGCATTACAATTATCTGTAAAGATTGAAAATTTTAACCAGTGTCAAATCATCATTTTTCAATTAAGAAGTGTCCTCATATCTGTGAAAACTTATCGGGGTTATTTCTGTCATGAGAGATTGTGTTAATGGTTATTTAAATTGAAGCAGGTTACTTGACTAACAGTTCAATGAATTTATAGGGTTGAGGCTTCTAATACTTTCACAATTTAAGTATAGCAGCATATCATCATATTTCATAATGGTTTAATGTATATCATTTTCTGTACTAACTAAAGATGAATATTTTACTACCCAGTTTTTCTTATTTACTGATTATACATATCAGCGAGTTGATATGATAGCTGCTGGTTTGACAATCAATCCAAGAAGATCGAATTATGTGGAATTTATTGGTCCGATTGTTGAAGATACAGTTGGAATACTTGTAAAACCATCAACAGCAAATTATCTTTTCTTTCAAATGTTTCATCTATTTCAAATTAATGTTTGGATAGCAATTACTAGTTCAGTGGTTATTCTTGGAACAACAGTTTGGTTATTCAATAGGTATAGTCCATTCAGTGGATGGAATTTACAACTTCCAGAAGCTAACTCAAATGAGGTATCTCTTTCCTACAATATATGGATTTCACTACGTTGTATGCTTCTACAAGGTAAGCTTTAAAACTCAATTAATTCTAAAATGTCATATATTACGTTTTCGAGCCATTAATGATTTACCAGAGTTTTACACGTTTAATTATTGTCTAGAATCAGAATTTTTTGGATAAACATTTGAAATAATTTTTGCAAAAGCGTTTCATTGTCTATGTTGAAATCTAGGACGGAGTTCATAGCCAATAAACAACTTCATTGAAAGAAACTGATTTATTTGACAGGTCATTAGTTTGAAGCATGTTTAAATGATAATAAAAAGTAGAAGCATTAAGAATACTCACTATCTGTGTTTATTGGGTGCATTAACAAAAGGTTAGTAATTTGGGTTATTAAAATAAACACTTACTTTCTACAACGTGTGACCAACACAATGTTAATGTGTCTTGTAATAACCAATCTACTTTGTTGTTTCTTTTTCAAATGATGCACCTTCTGTTCATAGTTTAAAACTCAGATTTATTCCCATCATTGACGAAGATAATGGAACGAGCACTTTAGAGATCCTCCTTGTCCTATTTATAAATAAGGCTTCATATAATTGTGCTGTTTACTCAACTCAGTGATTTTTTTATTTGAGCCATATTGTAGGATCATCATCTAGGTTTTTTTATTTTAACCCGTAATCCTAGTATCAATTAATATTTGTAATTTTCTACAAAATGGTTTATTGGTTCTTTTAATCTATTTGTGCAATGTTTTGTTCGTCCTGATGTCAAGAAAACAGTCACCAAATAATATCATAATATGGAAATGCAATCCGAGATTCATTATTTTGTTTTGAAATATGTTCTGTTCATAAACCCTGATTTCTGTTGATCACCCTGTTGACGAAAAATCACTACTCAGAGCTTCAGATGATAGAATATTTGGATATCCTCATGTAGTTGTCTTTATACGATCTATGATAATGTGTAAACTAGTTTTGTGCTTTATAAATCATTACTTTCGAAGTATGAGACCATTACGTAAATTTGACTAATTCTATCTAGTGTAGTTCATTGAAAAAACCTGTTGATGTGGGAAAGATAGGATTAAGTTCCTAATATTAAAATGGATGCTGGACCTGCGACAATAACACATTCTGTAACGACTCGGATGGTCCTATAATAACAAATTAATGTTTATGCATATATGTGTATATCGATTACTAGTATATCTGTCGTGTATGCTATTTATGCTGACAGAAATATAAGTAGTATGTAGCAGCAATTGAGAATGGAATGTCTGCTAGCAGAAGACTGAATTGAAGAGAAAAGGGAAATAGGGAGCAGTTGTACTAACTACATGAGTGGGAGAACCATGAAGCATGTGAAAGACAACTGAAGGAAGGTGTTCAAATAATGTATTGAATGTTTGGTTTTTATATGTTACAATCGCACTCTGTAATTTTGCATTAAAGAGTAAATTAGTTCTCCCTAACTGAGTCTCGTTCACTACTTTTCTGTTTGTTTTCTTCTAGGACAAGAAGGCAGATTATTCTGTTTTTCGTCACGCACTTTGTGCTTAATGTATTGGTTTATGATTTTAGTTGTACACGCTATATGGCAGGCTGATTTAACAGCATTTCTAACAAAAAACAATCTTGAGCTTCCAATTAGTTCGTTAAAGGACTTGGCACACAATGATAAGATTATAGTATTAACTATGAAAGGAACTAGTACTTACAATATGTTTCAGGTAAGAAATAATATAACCAAATTATTTATTACAATTGCATATTTAATTGAGATATCAGCTTTGACAACTGACTAGTTTCCTTTCATAAAACAAATCATGTAATTAAAATTCACTAATTCCTTGATATAACCCATTTATTAGAAAACAATGAAGTCTCATTCCTACTGGAAATAATTACATCCTCATTAATTGAGCACAAAATTCAAATTTAGTAAGATTAGTGTTGAAACTGAGCATTTTTCATCGAGTCCAATACTAAATTATTCCTTTTTAAATGGCATTATATTCGTTTTTAATTATCATCCTTATGAGGATAGCAAACTGTTATTTTCTTTTGTAAATATTATGATCAACTCATTTTCAGTTGGATGACCGCCATTTACGTGCTTTCACTTCGTATCATAGTCTGACTCTTGGCGGTGAGAATAAATGTCAGCAAAAATTTTCTCACTGAATATCGTGTACAGCTTTATGATATTTAAATAAGGTATAAAGTTGCTGGAAATAGTTTTGGGCTAAACTAAAGCAGTATACCAATATGTTATCATGTAACTGCATCTATGGACTACAGTTTTTTTTTACAGAGGTCTCAAATGTCAAGTATCATGTAAATAATAGTTAAAATTTATCGTCTGTTACAAAGAATACCATGGTCTATATTTACGTTGTCAGTACAATATTTCCGATTTTGAAGCTTATAATAATAAAATATGTATTCTTGTCTGAATATTTACCACGCTGTCATACTGGTTACCTTTGTACTTTACTTGTTTACCCTTAGTTGACAAATTTATCAGTAACTTTTCACTAACCATTTACTGACAACGGCATCATAATTATTAAACGTACTGCGGAAAAGATTTTTAACCAATTTAGAATGGACATAAATGGTTGAAATGTATCATAAGGTCTAAGTTTGTAAATAAACTACGCATTTTTAAACAGAAATTTACGGATGAGCAGATTAACAACAATTTTTCAATGTGAGCTCTTTGAAGATAAAACTATCTTCCTAATTCAATTAATGTGGACATACTACTAGTTCAAATGGTTCAAAAATATCTGACTAAAATTTTCAACATCTCTACAGGCAACCACATGAATTGAGAAAATTGATGTTTATATTCAGCGTTGTTAGGTGTATTTTTTACAGATAATATTCATCTACTCCTTTGTAATTATTTTCAATAGGTCTCAGTAAATAATACATTTTATGAATCCATATATAGAAAGCTGGTTGCAAATCCTGTTAGTGTATATAGTACAGACGAAGCAGTGAAGCTGGTGATAAAGTTTAATAATTATGTCTATATAACTGAAAGATTATTTCTTATGAGTGTACTGCAATCAGAGGAATGTTCAAATCTGGAAGTGATAGAAGAGCCTGGGATTGTAGCTGCTCTTGGATTCGCTGTGCAACTTGGAAAAGAGTATGCAAAACCTATGTCATCTTAGTACGTTTAATAAATATAGATCAGTTAATTATATATGAATAGTGTACTTGATTTTCATTGTTACGATATGCCAGATATTCAATAATGTCTTGTGATAAATATATGAATTTGTAAACCTCTGGTTAGTGAAATTGTTGATTTTTAGTATTTCTTAATTAATAAGTGATTACTTCTAATAAGAAAAGTTTGCTCAGCTTGCTACCAGTGGAGTGAGCCGTTTAATAAACAGAAAAAACAGTGTTTTGAAAAAAATTCTGTAGATGTTAGAGATTTCTATTTCAGAACTATGTATTCCTAACATAAAAGATTTAGCCATTACCAATGTTATTTAAATCTATCAGATCAGATCTACTGTTTCTTTTGTAACGAAACAAAGTGAATGTGTATCATTTGAAAATACAAATTTAATCACATACGTTTAGTAAAGTTGACTGAAGAAACAGTAACTCCAGAATTTAATCCCTAAAATGTCGATAATTTCTGTCTTATCACATCAGTAATTGATTGTTATATCAGGAATTGATTGTACATTATTTATTAATGAAAAATATGATTTTGCCAATGTTTATTTTGTCAAGTATGCTAACTTTGAGAGAGCGAGGCATAATCAACAAATTCATGGTAAAATGGAATATGACTTCTGATGTTGATCCTATGGATGTGCAATACCAAGCTCTGACAATATGGAATGTCGCCGGGGCATTCATCGTCACCTCAGTTTTTACTGGGATAAGTCTGCTTATTCTACTCGTTGAATGTATATGGTATAGATGGAGAAATAGAAAAAATATGGACACTAACAATAACAATAATAATAATGGTAGATAATGCTAAATTCACTAATACAGTTGACGAAAAAAGAATAATTCTTGGTATATTGCTTCATATTCTTTTTTTTTAATGATTTTATGCAATTTACATTGAGAAAACCAATAAATTTTACAAATCTGTCTTATTACATGGTTTAGCTTCGGCTGTAGACACGCTTTTAATGTAGTACACGATTATCGTAAATGGAGTTTCTCTGCTTATCGCTAATTTAATGTCAGGTAAACACTGAATAACAAAGCATCGGTTGGGCACAAATATATCTTGTCTTTCATTCATTCACTGGGAAATACATGTTTCAACACGATGATTTAGAATAATTCAAGTTCATAAAACCAGAAACTTTAGAAATTCGAATTACCATTTCGTTTGAAAATTACATATAATTCATTTGTAATTCAATAAAAAGTTATTAACAAGTGGAAAATAAATCAAAACTATAATAGAATAAAGCTCAGATTAACCAAGTAGTAAGAAGTTCAGAACAACGAATAATTTAATTAATAAAAGATATTAATTTAGTTACAAAGAAGAATAAGAAAATTCTGGCCATATAAAGAGATCTGTGACAAAGGCTTGTGTGAAACAAACTTTTATTTATATTACTCAAGGGGTTTGTCCGGTTAGTGTTCTGACTACTCCACCGTTACCAATCTTACTTCTCTCCAAACATTAATTGATTTTTATATTGATCGTTTTAATCTTCCCTTTGATGTTAAGGACTGCAATTGATCAGTCTCTTATTGGTATATATGCATCCTGTACGGATAGCCTCAATATTACTTTAAGTCACTAGTATTATAAGCACGATGACGTTTGCAACGAACGGCACCGGGTTCGAGTCCCGTAGTGAGCGTCAACCGTTGGGTGCAGGTCCATCCAGCTGATAAGTCCCAGATGGAACCAAACGCGCTCCCTGGATTCCATTGCTAGTCACCATCCATCTTTCCAAACATACAGTTTCAGAAATACGTGTAGAAATAAAACTGAAACATTTCCCTTAGTATTTTCCAGTGCACTTGTTTCAGTGAGTTTATTTTCACTAGGTACTGTAACTTAAGACTGTTTATTAACCTGTAAATTTTATTTTTATTGCCCTATTCAAAATTCTAGAGAAAATGTAATATAATCGATAAATTTTAGGCAGAAGAACATATACTCCAAGATAAACAAATCTAATAGATAAGGCAATGACAAAGGAATGAAGAAACATATAATAGTAATTGAGTGGTTCGATGTCACTTTATATTTCTTTCACCGGTAAAGAGATTTCTATCACGTATTAGTTTGCTTCAAATAGATGATCTTACCTATAGTAAACACCGGTTGCCAATCATTGGGATTGGTTCAATTCAGATAATATCTTCCTTTCTCAACAAGTATTGCTTTCCCTTGTATTACCACTAATACAGCCTCGAACTGTTGCTTCGTGAACTATATTGAGTCTTAATATTCTTTCCCTATCAGAATTATTTAGGAGCAATTTAGAAAAAAGACTTAAATACCTAATTGTAATGAAAATAAAAAAAATGTATTAAGTAGTTCTATATGACCACAAAGATGTGAGTATCAAAATTAACATACAATATTAGCGTTTGGTATCATGTCCAATTTTGTATCGTTGACAAAAATGGATATGACTCTGAGAATAAGTTTCCTCAGTCGATTAGTTTGAGACTGAAAATAGTTCAAAGGTTAGTTGAATGAAAGCGTCAGTAGACAACCAATGAATGAATTAACCAGAGACACTTTTACTTATTTTTTGATGCTATCCCACCATCACGCAATTACTTTCTGATAATGAACAAAAACAAATTATATCAGGTGCTTTGATAATTAAACCTCATTAGTTAAAATATACTGAGCATCACAAGGACAAGGGTTATGCTTATTCATCTCCAAACATTTGACAACAAAAACTAAGCTTTTGAATAATTAATGAAATCTGTTAGGGTTGCTAATCTGTTCGCGTATATGCCAAATCATAATTAATCTAAACACATACAGAAAAACATGGGAGTTGATACTGAATATACAGAGAGTTTCATTGTACTTAGGGCTTTCCATATAACCGTAAATATGGTCATTTTGTAGAAGCAGCTAAAATCATTGTCAGAATGCCATTTCTGCCTAGTTATAAAACGAAAAACGCGCTCCACTTTCATTGCGAATATATAGTTGAATACTCCCAGTAGCCAGATATAATTCTTGGTCTAACTTTGAGACTAAATAACTGTGGACAGTAAGAACCAATCAACATCGAGGTGTACGGAACATGCTGTGAAACGCATATAGAGAAATTCGAACACCACTTTTATCTGAAGTTTGTGTTGGTGATGTCGTTCAGAAGAACGATGAAAGCTCCACGACCAAACCATCCAACTCAGAGAACAAAACTCCATCAAAGAAAACGGTGGACACCTATGACTTTGAGTGGAATCAGAACTAGGTCCTTTAGGTTTTGTAAAGAGTGTTACACATTCAGATTACTGATTTGGCATACAATAATTCACATTCCCAACTTCTGTCAATTGTCGATAATGCACAACAATGGAAGTTATTTTTCCATATTTTCTTCTTAAATGAATTTAATAGTTCAGTAAGTTTTTTGTAAGAACTTCCTGGTCTAACTGAAAATACACTTAAGTTACAGTTGAAACTTTAAAAACTAGTTCATAATATTTATTTACATAAAATGCCGAATGTTATTATAAAAACAAAGCATAATCAACGAGAATTTATCAATCCTATTTTCGACAGATGTGTAGATTTACGCATGTCATATTTCAGTTATCTGTTAAAGGGGAACTCAGAAAGACAACAAAATACGGTAACCAACATTCGAAGTCAGCTGATTAATCGTATATTATTTCAAACAATCGATTAAAATCTAGCGAATTTTCAAGAACACAGTCGTTACATCAAAACTGGCATCAAATAAAATACTATGTGGAGTGATTAAAGTTTTTCAAATAATAAATAAAAATCGCGTAATACGGGATTTGACACATGTAAATGATACTGTACTCCTTGTCTAAAAACTAAACACCACAGCAAATTCTGGTTTACAAGTGAGTATATTGCCCTTTGCATAATGTAATTCTCGACATACACATGTAAGAAGCAGACAACGATCAACATATCCAAACGACATTTCACTATCTTGAGGACCGTCTGACCAACGTCACATGCCAAGCCACCAATCAGAATCCTGATTCTAATCTCCTCTGTAATTTACTCTAAAGCTTAGTGTCTCTGACTTGGTCAGTTGTACGTTCCACCATGACTACTGACCTTGAGCCGACCGCTAAGCTCCTATTGGTCCACTATTTCCAAACTCCTCCCTACCCTTTGCTTCGGAGCCAAAAGTAGCAACCGTGTTCTACGATATTTATATTTTGAATAGAAATGGTCTATACACAAATATATCAGATCGCATAACACTATAAAATGAAAAAAACAACAGTTATACGTGAATACGCGAGAAGTGGTTATGAATAGATGAGACCATAAGTAATCCAATGGCAACAAATTAAGAATAGTAAATCGTGTAACCATAATTTATAAGTCAACTGAAAGCTTATACCAAATGGAGTACATATACACAACAGTCTAGTTAGTTAGTAATTATACAACAAATTTATAATTCTTAAAACTCCGAAAGCTTAACTTCGACACTATTCGTCCCGTTATAAGATTCATAAATTAAGTATGCACATCAATGGATTCTTGTGCTTGTGAAATTTATAGGTTTTGTTTTGCATTCATTCATCATAATTCCTGAAGATTTCCTAAAACAGATATCTTTTTTACTATTTCGCTTTCTCTTATTTCCAGCACTTTTCCTTATATTATATGTTCATTCTTGCTCATTGTTTTGGTTTGTTTGATATTATCATTTTTATTTCTTCCATTATAAAGTTTCATTTGTATAAGCTGTCTGAATATTTAGTAAGATTCAGTGGGAGAAGTGAAATCCATCATCATAAGAACGTTTTTAACTGATAACGAAATACTTTAGGAGTATTTCTACAGTCTCTATAATCTAATTGAGAGTCGATGCTTGGAGATCGCTTGATGTAATCTTACTGGATATAAGTAGGTAAAGCTGAGCCAAACTTTAAAGTGAATGGTTAACGGGTGAACTGAGTCAAGGTCACAGTGTATTTATGA